TAATCGTTTTTTAATGATCGTTTCACGCTTAAATGAAAGAATGCCTCAGCATTGGTTCCGAAGTTTCTCTTCGATGGAATCACTGTTCTCTCAATAAAATAAAGGTCCAGTAAAAGCTGTTTTCCAAAAAATTGGTGGCAGCTGTAAAATTGCAACAGTTGTTTTCGAAATGTTCAAGTAACAATAATTCGTGGTGTCTTTAATGATTCATTCTTTGAGATTCTTAATGATTCATTCAATACGAGACTTGAGCGAGAAGATTCGTGATATCATTAAAACTTAAATGACCGTCCAGCTTGATGCTGTTGAGCACTAGTTGTTAAATTGATGAAATTTTCAAAAAGTCCTTTTCCTTCCTTAACCAATAACGTGAGTTTCTTTACAGATGTCATCGGACCAAGCACAGACTGACTGTGATAATGACAATATTCCAAGTGCTGTAACTAATCAAACGGATAAGCCAGTGGTCAAGAGACGTTCTCGTAATATGCCTTTGCATATTATCACGTCAATACCTTCGAAACCGTCATCTAATAGTGCGGTTGAAGACCCGAAAAGCATTCCATCAACTTCTCAGATGGCATCAGCAGCCACATATGATGCAGCCACTCAGCATACGTTTGTTGTGAGTGATTTGGAAAGACGCATACGCGACAGTGCACGCTTGAATAGTACCACGTCAACACCAGTGTCTGAATCCAGTAACTGTAGTAATTCGCTAACGGGTAGCAGTTTGACGTTGACACCCGACCCGCTGATCATATCAAGTTTGGAGAGTTCAGCAAGGACGATCGCGGCCAATTTGGACGTTTTACTGAGGGATTTACGTGGATCTCTGCATGGTATGAGCGATCTGACGGTTGAGGCGTCTGAGTGTTATGCCGATTCCATATCGTCAACGTGTGATTCCGTCGATGCGGTCATTAAGAATACTTATTCGATGCTAGCAAAGGTATCTTTTTCTAAAATTTCTCTTTTCATCATTACAGTTTTTATTTCCGTTCACTNTTCTAAGTTTTCGCTGTAATTTCATGAAAAGTGATGCATGATAGCGAGTTTGATTTGATGGATTTTTTTCTTTACTTCGGCTTACTTCATTCGTTTGACATGATCAATTAATTGTAAAACTGTATCTGTATTTGTGATGGTTGGGTTGATAATAATAACGAGTAATAATAATTTTATGATGACGTTGGATTTCCAGATAGAAGAGTTGAATGAAGCGATGGTTGGCGTCAAACGTCTTGCGCATCAAGTCAAGGAAATCAAACGTGTTGTAGATATTTTTGAATCTCATTTTATTCTTCATCCGCTTTAATCGTTCAGTCTATGTTGATTCCATGAAATGGACATCTTTTTTTCATGCAATTAATTTGTTTCGCATTTCCACTCATTTTAAGAATTTCGTTCTCTCGTTTGTCACTTATTTTAGACATTCATTTGCATATTGGCTAAATTTTTTCGTCTTTCCATTATTAGTATCAATGTTTGTTCCAATAGTTTAGTCAGACTATAGGTTCTATGAAATTGATCAGACATTGATTATAGAGATTCAATTGAGATTCGCAATTATTTGGTTCAAGTTGTATATTATTTGTTTCATTGTGATA